TTAAAAGAATGGAAAAATTGGTTTTAATAGGTAAAAACTTAATGTTATAATATATTAAGATTAAGGATTGGGATTAAAATGGAGGGAAAGAAATTGCTGGACTAACAAACTGAATTGGAATACAAAAGAGGGAGGTATGAGGAGGTCCGGGAAACAAGTAAATGTAAAGGAAGTTATGAAAGACGGAATTGTTTTTAACTGTTTTTTCTTTTTTCTTTTGGTATTTTGTATTGTGTATTTTTCTTTTTATTCTTAAATTTTTCTTTTTTATTAATGTGATTCTTTTTTTGTGAAACTTTAATAAATATTATTTTTTTAAAAAAAGGAATTGCTGAAATAATTATCAGAAGTGGAATACAAAGAAGGAGGTGTGAGGAGGTTGCGGAAATAAGTGAGTGAAAGATGGGATAATGAAACTGTTTGATTTATTTTATTGTTTTTTGTTGGGTTGAACTTCCCTTCAGTTTTTGTTTTGTTTTGTTAATTTAATGTTTTGCATTGTCTTTTTTTTTTAGTGTTTAAGTTTCTGGAAAAATAATAAATATTATTTTTAAAATATATATATATAAAATAATCAGAAAACATCAGGGTTGTAGTCAAAATCAGTCCTTTCCACAGCAGACCTATTTAAATTGATGGGCACAAATTACGTGGCTGTGTTGATTTTGACGCATCTCTTCTGAGTAAAACTCAGTTGACTACTCCTCACAGGATATCATGGAATTGTAGAGTTGGAAGGGACCACAAGAGTCATCTAGTCCACCCCCCTGCAATCCAGGAATATTTTGCCCAACGTGGGGCTCGAACCCACGACCCTGAGATGAAGAGTCTCACACTCTACTAACTGAGCTATGGGCAGATATATTGTTTGATAAATGGACCACAGTGAAATGGGGCCAAGTGAAATTGGGGCTTCGGGATGGCTTGGGGAATTCTCAAAGTGTCACATCCAAACCAAAACTCTTGGTTGTTGGATGCCCCTGCCTTCTGTCATCATTTGAGCTTTCCTCTCCTTCCCTTTCAAGCTGCTGTCTGGAAGGAGGCCAAAGCCCACTTAAACATAAGAATGATTATAAGAAAGCATTCATTCAACAGCCAGAGTTGAATGAAGACGATGTGCTAGAAGGAGAATGAGCTAATTAAACCATTCTGCAACACACACACACACTGCAATCCGAACCCCAGTGCTGTTATGAGGACAATGGTCACAACCACACATTTCAAGAAGCATTGCACTAAGAGTCACAGATTCACCCAACACATCCTGGGAACCTCTGTTTGCTACAGATCTAACATCTCTCAGCACCCTTGGCAAACTACAGTTCCCAGGATTCTTGAGGGAAAGCCTGGACTCTTTCAAGTGGTGTAAGAGCTTTAAATGTGTGGTGTGGAATTCCTCCAAAATAATCGGGGAACTGTGCAACCCTCTGTCTCTCAGGCTATGGTCCTGCCCCAGGCTCAGGAGGAGGAGGAGGAAGAGGGCTCTTTATTAGATTAGGTTTGTATCCTGCCTTTCTATTTTCATGCTCAAGGCAGCTAAACCGTCAGAACTACATAAATCAATTATAATAATCAATACAATAAGAATAGCAATAAGAATTATTTACCAAATCTAAATAATCTGATAGAAAATTGAGGGAGGGGTGATCTCTCCATCGGCTGCAGTCTTTCAATGAACATTATTGGTATTGTTGTTATTATTATTATTATTATTATTATTATTAATTTCCTTTCTATACCACTTTATATTTTCAAGAAAAAATTCAAAGCAGTTTACAGCATATTAAAACATAAATGAAACAATCTGAAGAATGTCAAATATAGAGTATACAGTTAAAGCAACATAGTTAATCAAAAACTGAAATATTAAAGATTTCAAAATAAAACATTACAAAGGAGGTCAACTACAGAATACATATTTAACACAAAATTAACAAAAACAAAACAAAAAACTTAAGCATTCCCCCCCCCCAAAAAAAACCAACATTGCTAAGTAAAGTCAAATATAAAATGCACATTTTAAACAGCAGAATTCCCAAGAGAATAAAATATTATCATAAGCATGACACGGCTGTTTAGCAGGCACAAAAAGATGGGGCAAAAGAATCCAATAGTTTGGGTTTCTTGTCTGGCCGAGCGATGTCCCTCTGGTCTCACCAGGAGCCTCTTTAGTAGAGCTGGTGTCTGGGTCCTGCCCCCCAGGCCAGGTGAAAAGGGCCTTGCAGGAAGCGGCCTTCACAACTCACAACCGGCCAAGGCCATCATGATGACACACAGTTCAATAGGGCAAGGTTTCTGGCAGGTGGGCATCTAAAGCCTACCAGATTGTCCACGCAGACCTTGTTGGTCCACTTGCAACCTCTCTAGGTGGAGCAAAGTACTTCATGGTATTGATTGATGCTTTTTCCAGGTACATTCATGTGTTCATGCTCAAGCAGAAATCAGAAGCGTTTCCGAGGTTCAAGGAATTCTGTGCTTGGTTGCAAAATGTCCATGGAAAGCACCTGCAAAAACATTGGTTGGTTTTGTGGGAATGTTCAGGGATGCAGGAGAGGATATATTGAGAGATTATATCCTAGTCCAACTTGTGCTAACAACTTCCCAAAATATCAGCAGAGTTTATAACATTCCCCCTTTTACGTTCGCAACGGTAACGTCTGCACAGGTTCGCTAGAACCTCTATAATAATTACTCTGGTAATTTCCCCCTTTTGATCCCTCTTAAAATACAAGACACGACACAGTCTTTATAAAAGAGTTTACTCACGTTCTGTTCACAATATGATCCCAGAAGGCAGACAGGCTTAAAAAGGTAAAATACATTTAGAATCTATCTTATAGGAAGATAGTCCTATCCTCCTCTCTTGGCTGAGAGCCAAGAGGGCATCCTGCTTCTTCGAAAGATGAAGATGAGAGAGGCAAGAGGCAAGAGAGAGAGATGGCTGCCTGCCCTGTGCTTTTATCATTTACCTGCACAGGTGAGGCCACACCCACCTCTGGTCACATGCGGAGGAAGTCCGTCCCCAGGAAGTTTACCTGCTTGCTGGACAGACATCCCTCCCCATGTTCTAACATGTACACTCTAGGAATGTTGTCATTGACTGCTCCTGTGTTTACATCCCACAGGCTTTCATTGAGTTCTGTGGACACAGTAAAACAAAGCTGCCATCTGGTTTCTCTCGGGATGTTCGGATTGTGGAACACAGATTTGCTCTCCACCGTAACCATGTCTCTCAGCATACCACTTTATTTCCCCCCAGATAGGTTGCTACTATTCACTTGTAGGAAGATGTGCTTATTTAGATTACAACATTGCAGTGGGAGCAAAAGCCACCTTTCTTCTCTCAAGAGGGTTAGTCGAGTTTCTGTTGTTACGGAAAAATCCAGGTGTGCTGGTCCAGGGGGGAGGTTACCGTGGGGCAAGGTCCAGGACCTGAGTTGAGGGTCAGCAGACAGTCCTCCTCGGGCGAAGTGGGGTCCACAGCGAGAAGCCGGGCAAGGACAGGAACTCTGGGGGAACAGGACTGGATGCTGGCCGAAACAGCTCTTCAACGACGTTGCTCCTGCAACCTGGGACCGGGCTGACTGGCCTTTATCTTCTCTGAGGCCAGGGGCGGTCCCGGCCCCCAGGAGACCCGCCTCTCCTGGCCTTAAGGCGAGCACTCCTCCTGGGAGAAACCAGTTCCCTTCGCCTCTCTGCCCTGAGCCTCTGCAGTTCAGGAGAGGCTGAAGGGTTACTGGACCCAAGGGGAGACTCACCTGTAGGCACTGAGTCCTCAACCACCTCCGGAGCCAGAGTGGATTCACCTGGTGCCTGCTCCTGAGGATCCGGCACAGGTGCAGGCGCTTCAGAATCAAGGCCCTGCCCCAGTTCAGCCGGCCCTGGAGGCGGGGACTCCTGTGCAGGCTGGGATTCCTCCGGTTCAGCCTCTGAATTGGATTCCCAGGCCATCACACCAGGTGGGAGGCTGCTCAGAGCCCGTGGGTCCCTGCGGAACAAAGAAGGAGTCCAGCCACCAACCGGAGCAAATAGCGGAGACCAAAGTTTATCGCGCAACAGGTTCAGAGAGGAATTGAACCCCGAGAATGGGGTGACAAGGACTTTTAAAAGTTCCTATCTTATCCCAGCAGACAGTTCGCTAAACATCCCCACTCCATCAGAAAAGGGGAGGGTTATAGATGATTAACATAGGAGGAATGTGTTGGGGTAACATGCAAATACAGGATATGTCTTGGGAAATCCGCTCCACTTCCCAGTTGGGAACCCCCAACGCCCAGAGAACTTCCTCTTTGGCTTGCTTCCTCAATCACCCGCCCTCCCTCCCTATTTTGCAGGTTAGGCAATGGCCTTGCTATGGACTTTGGTTGATTGCCTTGGTTGTCCGAGGGGCCTGGTAGGAATTTTTCCACTTGGCAAATTGGCACTGGACACTTGGGTTTCGCCTACCTCGTAGCAATCGTCACAACTTTGTTAGGGTTGTGGTTAGGCATTGTTTGACCTTGTGTGGAGGAGGGGAGGTGTGGCCGCCACTTGCCCCTCCATGCTTAAGGGTATTCCGTTAAAGGAATCCGGGGGTGTTGATCTAGTCTGAAGCCCAGCTGGGGGGCTAAGGCCTTGACACGACCCCGACAGGAGCACCAGGGGGAGCTTGAGTTGGTTCGCATCAACAGGGCTCCCCCTACCGGTGGCTTACCCTTACTGGGACTTCCTGCACAATGGGCAGGAGTCAGATATAGTCAGTTCAAATCAATGCCTAAGCCAATACCGCTCACATTCGCCGAAGAATTGATGCTTTTGAATTCTGGTGCTGGAGGAAACTCTTGAGAGTCCCATGGACTGCAAGAAGATCAAACCTATCCATTCTGAAGGAAATCAGCCCTGAGTGCTCACTGGAAGGACAGATCCTGAAGCTGAGGCTCCAAGACTTTGGCCACCTCAGGAGAAGAGAAGACTCCCTGGAAAAGACCCTGGACACGAACTACAGCATCTGGTCGGTCCGCATGCAACACTTCCTCAAGCGTGAGAGTCTGTGGAAGGTGGTGGAAACTCCACCGCAGCCCCCTGAGGAGGATGAGGATGACGATGAAAAGCTGGCACTAGCAGAAGCCCAGCTAGAAAAGGATGAGAAAGCTTTGGCTACGATCATTCTTGGAGTGGACGACAGCCAGCTAGTCTACGTAGCTGATAAGGTGATGGCAAGTGAGGCGTGGAATGCGCTCAAGGCTGTCCATGTGCGAGAGACAGCTGGCTCACTGATAACATTGACCAGGAGACTGTACCGGTGTCGGAAGAAACCGGGGGACTCCCTGGTAAACCACCTAAAATTCCTAACAGGCTGTTTCCAGGAGCTAGCCTTAAGAGGGAGGCCTGTGGGGGAAGAGGACAAAGTCTTTATAGTCCTGAGTTCCCTTGATGACAGCTATGATATGCTGGTCAATTCCCTCGAGTCTGTAGAGACTGATAAGCTGACTCTGGAATACGTTACCGGACGGTTGTATGCAGAGGAGGGCAGGCGTGCAGAGCGAAAGATGACCTCAGCCCAGCTGTTGGAGCATCCCAGAGGGAACAACAGCCGGGAAGAGCAGAGGTGTCGGGAGCCGGAGAAACAGCCAGGAGGAGCTGCTGCAGACCAGCCGGTGGTCAACAAAGTAAAAAGGTGTTTTTGCTGCAAGTCCAGTGGACATCTGCTGCGGGACTGCCCAAGAAAACAACAAAAACAGCAGAAGCACAGGAGGCAGCAGAGAGAGTCTACTGCTTGGGTGTCTGCAGATGGTCAAGAAAATGAAGAGCTGTGGGTTCTGGACAGTGGAGCTTCTCAAACCTTTTGTAAAAGAAAAGGATTGCTAACTGATGCTAGGGCTTCAAACAAAAAACATGTAAGTCTTGCTACGGGCCAGAAAGCTAATGTGGTTTGTGAGGGGGAGGTTGTGTTCCCACAACTGGGACACACATTCAGGAATGTGTTGTGTGTGCCTAGTTTGCAAAACAATCTCTTGAGCATTCCTGACTTGGCAAAAGCAGGCTTTGAAGTAAACTTTGTGGGAGATCAGTGCCAGATAAAGCAAAATGGGGCAGTGTTGGCAAATGCTAACCTTAGAACTAATATGTATGTACTGCAGTATGAGTCTAAGGTTGCGAATGTGCAAAATGTGCAACCCATGATATGTGTATTCATCTTCTGCACAGGCGTCTGGCTCATGCTAGCTTTAAGGTGCTGAACAAAACATTGGAGTTGTGTGGGGGGATGAAAAACATTAAAAGTTGTAATAATTACTTAGACTGTGATATCTGCAAGGAGGTTAAAAGCAGGGCGTGCCCAGTAGCAAGAGCAAGCCAGAGAGAAACCAAAAAACCACTGGAGTTGATTCATGCTGATGTAACTGGTCCTTTTCCACCAAGTGTCTCCCATAACAAGTACTGTTTGATCCTAGTGGATGACTATTCTAGATTTCGCTGGGTCTATCCATTAAAGCAAAAGTCTGACGTTGCCCAAACTTTGAAGTTCTGGGTAAGAGGGGTAGAAAGGCAACTTGGCGAAAAGGTGTGCTCTATTCAGACAGACAGGGGAGGAGAGTTTATGGTAAGCTCCCTAAGAAACTGGTTGTGTTTCCAAGGGATTAAACATAGACTTACCAATGTGGCAACACCTCAGGAGCACGGAGTAGCAGAGCGTAGGGGAGGTGTCTTGCAGACACAAATGAAAGCATTGTTAGCAGATGCAAATCTTCCAATTAAGTACTGGGCTGAGAGTATTAAGACCGCGAATTATATTGGGAATCGCTTGTGGTCAAGGGTACTAGATGACATACCCTATAAAATTCTCTATAACAAAAGTCCCAGTTTGCAACATTTGAGAATCTTTGGGACAAAGGCGTGGGTTGACATACCTGTAAAGAACCGAAGAAAAGGTGGGGAAAGGGCACAGCAGTTGCTATTTCTTGGGTATGAAAGTGGTACGAAAGCCTACAGGTTTGAAGATGATAAAAATCTTTTGAGTTATAGTCGATCAGCCAGCTTTAATGAGCAAAGAAATTGGCCCAAGATACATGCAAACCTGCTGCCAGAAAAAGTTTTACTGCCGAGCGTACCTGTTAAGGCAGCTGAAACAAAGCTAAGAATTGGCAGCTCTCCCAGAGAAACTGAAAGGGAGGAGGTAAAGGTTGAGCATTTTTATCCAGCTGCTAGCATGGAGCAGGGGGGAAAAGAAAGTGCAACAGGGACAGGAGTAGGTAAATCTCCAGAATCAATCCACCCCAAAAGCAGTCCTGAAGGTAGCCCAGGGGGTGAGATTAATGAACCAAGGAGGTCTGCAAGAAGTAATAAAGGTCAACCTCCAGACCGTTATGGGTTCCCAGCCACCATAAACCAGGTTTGTGTAACTGAGCCAGAAAACTTTGAAGAAGTGCAAGAGTTACCTACTCTAGAGAAAGAGGCGTGGTTAAAGGCAATGCAGGCAGAGTATAACTCTCTGCTAAACAACAATGTGTTTGTACCTGCAGAATTGCCTGAAGGTAAAAAGCCCATAAGCTGTAAATGGGTTTTTAAAGTGAAAAAGCTGGCTGATGGTAGTTGTCAGAGGAAAGCCATAATGATACATTATGATGAAGTGTTTGCCCCAACAGCAAAGGCTGAAACAGTAAAATCAGTTTTAGCAATGGCAAGTCTGAGAGGGTTAAAAGTTAATCATTTTGATGTGGCCTCAGCATATTTAAATGCTCCTATTGACCTTGAGGTGTATTTACAGCAAATACCAGGTTATGAGCTGGAAAAAGACAGCATGGTGTTAAAACTGCAAAGGAGCACTATACGGGTTGCACCAAAGTGCACGTCTATGGCATGAATGCATAGACACAACTTTGAAAAAGATGGGATTCAAACAAAGCCTGGCTGATTCCTGTTTATATTCAGCAATGGTGCAAGGAAGTGTCTGTTATTTACTTTTGTATGTTGATGATATCTGTCTAATAACAACTGCACAAAAGCAAGTGTCTTGGTTTATAAACAGCCTAGGTAACAAATACAAACTGAAGTATTTGGGAGAGATTCAGAATTACTTAGGAGTAGAGGTTCAGAGAAATGAAGAGGGCGTCTACTCTCTGAGTCAGAAGGAAAAAATCGAAAGGTTACTGAAGACATATGGAATGGAGAGGGCAAATGAGGTTGACACTCCCATAACTACCCAGTACAAAAATGAACCAGAAGGACAAAAATGTGAGAATGCAACAGCATTTCATTCTCTGTTTGGGTTCTCTCTTATATTTAAGTTGTTGGACAAGACCCGACATAACATTGGCAGTGCGCACGTTAAGCCAAAGAAGTGCAGACCCGGCTCAGAGAGATTGGGTAGCACTTAAAAGAATCCTAAGGTATCTGAAAGGCACAAAAGATTACAAACTGATGCTGGATACAGGATATGATCAGCAAGTGTATGCATACGCTGATGCCAGCTGGGGGAACAGAGAAAATGGAAAGTCTACCACTGGCTATGCCATATATATTGGAAATGCCCTGGTTCAGTGGTTCAGAAACAAACATTTGTTGCCACAAGTACTTGTGAAGCAGAGTACTCAGCCATAAGCGAATGTGTGTCACAAATAGAGTGGTTTGCTTGTCTAACAAAAGAGCTTGGAATACCTTCTGAAATGCCAATCACTGTGCTAAGTGACAACATGGCTGCACAACAGCTTGCTAACCAACAGAACTTTAAGAGCAAGAGTAAACATATAGCTATAAGATACAGAAATGTGAAAAATGCTTTGGAAAGAAATGTGTTAAAGGTACAGCACTGTAACACAAAATGTAATGTGGCGGATTTGTATACAAAATGTTTGGATGCTCCAAAATTTCGAGACTTAAGATAATTATTAGGTCTCAAGCCTTTGACTTAAGGAGGAGTGTTGGGATTCGCAGGATCATGAGTAAGTCTGCAGGCTTCAACAGGCTGATGCAATACTCTGTGAAGTGCTGGGTCAGACTGACTCAGCAGGAATGTGATTGGCTATCACCTGTTTTAAAAGGAAAGCCTGTTCAACAGTAACTGTGGTGGTTGTGCTGTGGTATGGTGGTGCTGTGGTGGAGAGTATTCGTTTGCCTTAAGGAGCAGGTACTCTGTATGGACTGTTTTTGTAAATACCTGTATATAGCTCACATTAAAAAGACTGCACTGGAAAAACCTGGGAGTCTAAGCGTTTCTGCTAAAAGTGCCGTGAGGAATTCGCAACAATCACCTTGTCAGCGTTCAGTGGAGTGTGCAAAACAGCTGGAGCTGAGCTGCCTCTGCAGAGCCATGGCATTGCTGCGATTGGCTGAAGGGCTACATTCAACGCCATCTGATTGGCTAGAGCTCATCCTCATGCAAATACATTGTTCATTCATCAAATACATCGATCGTGTATAGCATCGGGATAAGGGGTCAGAAATGGCGCTTTCTTCTCGGGGTTTTGGACTTTTGTGCGGTGCTTGCTGCAACGTTGTGACGGGGCGAGGGGAGTCCTAGTGTGGCAGGGTTCCCTTGAGGTCATCGCCTTGGGCTCTACATCTCTTACTCGGGAGTAAAACTTTGTTCATATGCCCCCCCTCCATTCCGTAACACTCTTCATATGGACTTCATGGAGTGTGCACTCTCGCAGGGTCTGCTTCCAGAAACTACTATTGCAGATGTAGATATTTTGGCAGAAATGGTTAACAAATATGCACGATGGCAAGCAGGCAGCCAGGAACAGTTACAAAGCAACCTTGGTCCTGCCTAGCCTGGAAGCTGTTTCCAACTAGTGAACTAGAAACCTTTCAGCAACCTTTACAGCCATCTACAAACCCCAAAGTTTGTAGGATTCTCTTATTTCAGCTGTGTCTTGGCTCTGTGCTCACAAGTGTTCTAGTGACTTTCAGGTAACTTGGAAAGCATGGTAATGATGTCTTGGTTCTGAAGAATGATATTTCCCCCAGTCTGACTTAGTTATCCTGGTGATGATTCAGCTAGATGTTGTACAGGCTGACCATATTCCAGAAGGGGTTTGTTGTCTTGGCCTTGCTTTGGCTTACTGAGATCAGTCTTCTCCTTATAGGTGCTCATTCTGAAATGGATAATTGTAATGTTTGACTTCATTGATCAGAAGGAAAATATGAATGCTCTCTATGGTTTCTTCTTCCGCTTCTTACAATATGAGAAATTGGTAAGATAAAAAGGAATGTCTTATTTTGAAGGAACTCGCTTTTATTCTGACATTAACCCAAATCAAACAATAAAGAGTAGTTTCCGACCACACAACAGGACACCATGTGAAAAGTGGGGCCTTAAATACATTTGAATCAAATACATTTGGAACAAGTGATTGTTACATTTAAGGAACATTCTCTAGGCGATGAGATTGGGGGGAAATACAAAAACCCATTCGGATAGATTTGGATACATTTAGAAAAGTACAGCATTTTGAGGAAAAATACATTCAGATCCATTCTTAAAGTCAATGAGAAAGATACAGCAAAAAGGATACGATTCGATACAGCGAAAAACGATACATACATCACAGAAGGGGCGGCCTACAACAGACTCCTGTTTGGCAGGAAACCTGTTGATGGGTTTACCTGGCTGTTCATGGGTTTACCTGCATATTCTTTTGTGATGATAACTACTTACGGTATTTATGTATGTGTTTATATCTTAGACCTTCTAATTCTCCTAGCACCAGGAATTGACCAGATGGTGCAAGATGCCCGCCCCCCCCCAAGTATCTGTTGGAAGCAGATTTAGGAGTGGGGGGTGGAAGCACCTACTGGTGGGGAGCACACTTCTTCTGGGGATGCTTCCTCCTCCTCCTCCTCCTCCTCTTCCCACTTCTCGCTGGGGCCTCAAGATGAGAAGTCAGGCTGGAAGTCTCCTCGGAGAAGACAAAGGAGCAAGCATGGCTGCCTTTCCTCTTCTCCAGACCAGTTAGTTGGACTAGAAACCTTTCCCATCCCAGTTCTGCAGTGGTTTTCAAGCAGTGTGCTGTGGCAGCTGGGGTGCCTTGAATGATGGTCAGGGGTGCCGCGGGAGACACTGGCCTCTGTCCCTCTTTCCTTCCCTCCCTCCTCGGATGCCATCTCTGCCTCCCCAAGGCTTGCCCAGCTGTTCTCCCCCAGAGAATGGTGCCTCTGGGGCTGGCCAGGGGGTGTGGGCTGCCAGGAGCTGAGGCGGCCTCAGAGGAAGCAAGCCAACTGGCGAGGGGCCCTTGCTGTTGGGAATGGACAGGCAAGTCCCAGGCCCCTTTAATATATCAATAACAAATAAACGCAATGACGCTATAATGATACAATCTGAATCGTTAGGGGTGCATTGCAGCAGTCAATGCAAATCTCCATGAGTCGCCTTTCAGCCAGAAGCTCTGTAGCACAGGTGGTTCTGATGATTCCCCTGTAAGGAAGGCTTACAATGTAGGAGGCTTTGGGGCTTTGCGAGAGGGGGGGAAGTGGGGACATCATAGAAGTATGCATGATGTGGGAAAGGTGCAGAGCGATGTTTCCTCCTCATAATATCAGAACCTGGATCTCTTTAAGAAAGCGGAATGATGGCAGATTCAGGCCAGACACAGAGTGCCTAGTGACACTGAAATTTCCTCCTTCCAGAGGCACTGAGGGGGATGGCTTTAAGACAGGATTCGTCAAATTCATGGAGGGTTAGACCATGTTGCACCTCCAGCCGCAGAGGCAGTCTACCTCTGCCTACCCGTCGCGGGTGTCCCCAGTGGGGAGAGTGGGGCTGCATTTGGAGTCTGCTTGGGGCTTCCCTTGGACATCTGCTGGGCTGCTGAGAGCTGGACTAGATGGGCCTTGGTCTGATCCTGCAGGGCTGTGACAATAAGAGCCTGGAGTATGGCTGCTTCGCGAGCAATTCAGGGAACAGTAGTGCAGAGTTGCATCTCCCTGGGAAGGGGCACGTGCTCACCAAAGCTGTCTCTTGCTTCTGGTCCTAAGAGTTGGGGTGGGGACATGGAGGAAAGGGGTGCAGCCTTCTGTAGAGGCCGGAGTCTCTCCCCTGCCTCTCTCGGCCACCTCTGAGGTGTCCGAAAAGGCAGATAGCAGAGGAAGCGAACCAATAGTCACGTTCATCTGTACTGGCTCAGTATGACCTATTCTGACAGATGCTGCCTTTCATATTCACGCCCAAGAGCCTTTCCGCTCCAGAGATCTGGGGCTGAACCCGGGATCTGCACGCCAAGGCTGGAGTAAGAAAGAGCCCTTGCCAGCTGGCCACGTTGGGCGCCTGCCTGGAGAGTGGAAGCCGGGAGTTGGAGGGACATCGTGCTGCTCCTGGCAACCCCCACCCAACCCGACATCCTCCTCCGCCTGAATCCCGCTTCCCCCGGGACGCACTTCCCATCCTGGAGCGGCTGGGGTGGGAGCGCTCCCCACCCCCCTTTCCAGACTCTCTTCGTTCTTCTTCTTCATGCCTCGGGTGTTTTCCTGAGTGTATCTTCAGAACAACCCTCTGTGAGGGAGGCTAAGCTGGCCCAAGGACTGGCCCAAGAACTGGCCCAAGGTAGCTCAGCCTAGTTGCCAAGGCCAGCATTTAAGACCACGCACCCTTTCCCCTCAGATGATAAATCCGGGATGAGTCATGCTAGCAGCCTGTGGCCTTGATGGGCTTTGAGGCAGCCCAGCCCCCTTGTCTGCAAGCAGGCTGCCTCAGGGGAGGACCAGCACTTTTCTCACGGGACAGAAGCGCACGACTTCCCCCTCCCACTTGCCGCCCGCCCCAGTCTTTCTCCGGCGACTCAGTTTAGCGGCTCATCCCAGGTGGGAATTCGGGTGGCGCTGCTTGCAGAAGGAGAAGTGGCTGGCGCTAGCGGAACCTCCCATCTC